AAAAAAAAAAAAAAAAAAAAGACGAAGTAATTTCACAGATTTTTTTATTTGTTTTATATTTCGAAAATACATAAAAATGTCAATAAAATCACAAAACTAGACTGTGAATCTACAAGCCCAATAGAAAATAATATAAACTGTTACTATGAATGACCAGAAATTCATTTAACAGGTGAAACTGTTAATTTCAAATCAAACAATGGAAATACAGATGAAACCAGAAGCTTACTGTGGGGAAAAAAAGACATAAAACCTCATTTTTCCTCACTGTTTTAAATTAAATTAGACGAAAGATTTCCTTTTTTAGGACAGTCAGGATTACCAAAATTATTTCTATTTGCGAAATGCTAGAGTAATGTGTGGAATGTATGTTATATTGATTAAAGAAAAAAGAAAAAAAAAGAAGAGGGAGAGAAGGTGAGCTTTTGCAGGATTGAATTTCCCTTCTGGGATAAATAAAGTATTTTTCATTTCATTTCATTTTCATAATGAGAGAGAGAATATTTTAGGGATTTTTTTTATTTTTTTTAAATTACTTTCTTCAAAGTCAGAAGTTTACATGTGCCTTCAAACTATTTGGGAAAGCCCAGATGATGATGTCATGGCTTTGGAATTTTTGATAGGTTAATTGACAACATTTGAGTTAATTGGAGGCAAACCTGTGGATGTATTTTTGTGTTTGGTGAGAAATCTGTGGATCAACCTCAGAACAAAAGCAACAGACCTTGTGAAGATGCTGCTGAAGCTGGTAAGAGAGTGTCATTATCCACAGTGAAACCAGTCCTGTACCAACATGAGCTGAAAGGCTACTCAGAGAGGAAGAAGACATTACTCCAAAAGCAACATAAAGAAGCCAGATTACAGTTTGCAAATGCACACAGGTAGAAAGATTTCAATTTTTGTTGTCTGATGAAACTAAAATGGAACTGTTTGGACATAATCATTACATTTGTCGGAAAAAGGAGGAAGTTTACAAGCCTGAGAACGCTGTCCCAACTGTGAAGTATGGGGGTGGCAGCATCATGTTGTGAAGGTGTTTTGCTGCAGGAGGGACTGGTGCACTTCACAAAATAGATAGTTTCATGAGAAAAGAACATTATATGTAAATATTGAAGCAACATTTCAAGACATCAGCCAGGAAGTTAAAGCTTGGGTGCAAATGGGTCTTCTAAATGGACAATGACCCAAAGCATACCACCAGATTAGTTACAAAATGACTTCAGGACAACAAAGTCAATGTTTTAGAGCGGCCATCACAAAGCCCTGATCTCAATATTGTAGAGAATTTGTGGGTAGAGCTGAAAAAGCCAACAAGGCAGCCAATAAACCTGACTCAGTTACACCAGTTCTGTCAGGAGGAATGGGCCAGAATTCTATCAAACTATTGTGAGAAGCTTGTGGAAGGAAACCCAAAACATTTGAGCCAAGTCATACAGTTTCAACACAATGTTACCAAATTCTAAGGAAATGTTTGTACACTTCTGACTTTGAAGAAAGTAATAAAAAAAAAAAATCTCTAAAAATTAAGGCTAAAAAATGTAGGCTGATTATGATAAATCCCCCCCCCTCCTACTATTTCCCTCTGTACATGACTCGTACCCAAATCACAGACTTGTCAGCCTCTTCCATCACAGTTGTTGTATTTTTGGTTGTTTTACTCACACAAACTCAATTGCTAGGAGAAGTGGTCACACTGTCATAACAGAGCTTTGCCCGCATTGTTCTGAGTCACTGTGACTGACTTTACATCACAGCAGTGGCAATGGAAGTGGCAGTCAGATCTTTTACTGAATAAAATACCCCCATGTACAACAGTTAAACTTAATTACATCTACATTTGCTTGTATATTAGCAGCTTAATATACTATTATTGTAAACCGTTGTGCCCTGCAGAGCATCAAATTATGGCTGGATTACACATAAATAATATTTTTAAGTACCAACTGTTCTATCTGTGGGACTTAAATGCATATTTTATAACAGCGGTTGCCAGCCTGGGGGTCGGTAAGCCTAAAAAAAAAAGGTCACCAGATAAATGTGAAGGGGTCATGAGACGATCAAACAAGTTATGACTCTCCTCTATTTTTTCTTTTCATTGTCGCATACTGGACAGTTTAAACTTAAAAAAAAAAGTTTCTAAAATAAAGGATCTCAGGGGGAATATGGCTGAGCTGTTTACAACTTATGAAAATATACAACAAGAGGTCACAGGAAGGCTTTTGCTGTGATTTCAGTGATTTTAAGAGTGTTTTCACGTTTGGAATGTAAAAATCTTAATCTACAAAGTAACTAACCTGATAACCATCAAGCGAAATGTTCCAGAGTAGAAAAGTCCAGCGGCAGTGCAGCGGGAGGAGAAAGTTGCACAATGAAATACTAAAAAATGAGAAACCTGTACAGTAAATGTGTGCTATTTTCACCAGCATTGATTCAGCAGGTAAGAAGACACTGTCGTCTCATTACAGCCTCCGACACAGTGGTGATGTTTCCACCCCGACTCCTCACACTAATGATGAAGTACTTCTGCCTGAGACCATTAAAACCAAATGCCAACTACCTTCTTGCTGTAACCCAAACCCCAGTTAACCAATTAAATTTCATTGCAGCTAAAGCAGTAAGTAAAGAATATAATCAGACAAAATGATTCTACTTTTATTTGATATATTCAAAACAACAGAGAATGAGAACATATTAGTATAGACGCCTTGCTTTCAAATAACTGTAGACATCTTTGTTTTGTAATCAGCGAGGGAATTTTCCAGAGCTTTTGTTTTGAAATCTAAATCCACTCATTCAAGGACAACTTGAGATTAAGTTCTCTGAAATATGACTCCATTTCCCTGATGACTTACTAATTAGCGGAAGAAGAAAAAACAACAACAATACATCAGTTCCATTTAAAGCAGGTTACATCAGTTTAAATGAGAAAAACAAAACCATACACTCCTCATTCAGAATGTAATAGGCAGCACAGAGCTTTAGGTGTGTTTTTGTATAGAGCTCATGTGGGGCTCTGTGATAGTGTTGATGACTAAACTGTAAATCAGTGCAGGACCACAAAGAGCGTCTTACGGTCAGAACAAACTGACTCTGTGGCCAAAGATTTACAAGATAAATCACTTGTCGGGTGCATCACAAAAATCAGTAGCGACCAGACGATGCTCATAACCTCAGAGAATTATGAGTTTAAAATAAAACTACATATTGCTGTAAATGTGTCTCACTCCCAAATCTGGATTCGTCTTCAGATGTTAAATAAATGTAGACAGATAAATCTCTCACTTGTTTGAGTCCGGTGATGTGTGTCTGGCTCTGGAGTTCAGCAGACAGGAAGACAACTCCCAATGAGCTCACACACACGTCTTCACCAAACTAAAGACTTTTTCTCATGTCAAAATAAGCATAAGTACTCTGGAAAGAACAGAAGCCAGTGGAAACACAACAGTGTGACATGAAGTTTATTCAGTAGATAAGTGTACAGTAACATTAAGAGGTTTTTTTAGGTCAATCCTTCAGTTCAAAGGTTACATACTTTTGCTAAATACATGAAGTCCTTTGATCAATGGTGTCACAGCCTTGTATTCATTTAAATTAAGGCACTTCTGCAAAATGACTGATTTGCAACATTAAAATGAAAGTAATGTGATTACATGTTTCCCACATGGATTCTATAAATTTAGCACTACGGATTCTCTGATTTGCTTTTCCTTAATAAAATAAAATAAAAATAAATCAAGCATAAAACCTCAACAAAACATCCAATACTGTTGAACATTTTAGCACTTTATATATTTGCATCATATTTGTGGGGTTCAAATGAGATCAGCTTTACATTATTACAGTCTAAGGCAGAATATATAAGAGCTGTTGTTTGAGGAGAAAACAAAACACACGAGGAGGCTTCTTAGAAGAGACGTGTGACACTACCGTCACAGACAAAAACACAGACACAGTAGCTAATGCACTTTTTATAGGGCGAGACGAAACATTTAATTGACTTTTACAGCTTGTGCCTGCCCAAGCTAAATTACAATTTTGTATGCTTAAATTAAACTTCAGAATAAAATAATTACAACATCTTGTCAGATTACCACAGGAAGGATGCACATTACGTGGGAATGTTAAATAGGAAAGATGAAGAAACAATCTGAAAACAAATTAAGGCTTCCTTTAAGAGAGGCGCTCTCTTCTACTGAAACAGAAGGCAACACCTTCCACCGAGGTATATGATTCTTAATCACATTCTACATCTAATACAGCTTCAAAAGACTGTGATCTACAGTATATGGAATGTCCTGGCAACTAATGGAAAGCTTTTCAGTCTCTCGTTACTACAAATCATTGATTTGGATCACAGTCCAGACTACTGTGTGCACACACACACACTAAAACTAAAGAGACAAAATCTGCAAGGCTACACAGATACAATGTGTAATACAGTGTTTAAGAATTTAATGGCTGAAGCAAGTTAAGATTTTATTGCTGGCTGTCACAGCTGGTGATACACCCATGTGGGGAAAAGCCTGAGTTAAATGGCAAAATGAAGGAGTGAGTGAAGAGCGTAGATGTTCCATGTAATAGATAAGAAGGTACCGAAAATACCTCTTCATGTGCTTTCTTTGACACTCTGCACACAGTCATCTGTGTCTGCAGCGCTGAAACCGTTCAGAGCGTCCTGCAAAGACGGAAAAAGTGAAGGGAGAGAAAGTGGAATACATTAACAAAAACACCAAACCAAAATAGGAAAGGAGGGTTTGTTTTGACTGGCACAGACTGGATTTGAGCTAATATTGAAGTCTGAGATCACAAGCCATAGTGAAACACTCCTTTTCTGTCCACCTCTGCGATCTGAAGTGCAGTAATGCTCGTAAAGGTCACTTTGTGGGCAACAGCACAGAAACAACACTGGAAACATTTATATCTGTCACTGCCCCTCCAAGATGCTTGTAAAGGGCCTTTTGTCTGTTGTAAACATCTATTTGTTTTTGCTGTTGTTTTTCATCGTTCCTAAATGACACAAAAAAGGTGCAATGGGTACATTCCAGTAATAACTGATTAATAAAAAGTGTTGCAATGTCTACAAAGGCATTAAACTGTGCACATTTCATATTTCTTTGGATATTAATAATGACTAAAACATCATGTCTTCTGCATGAGGCGAAAAAGCAAATGAGTGCTGCAGGTTCATTTAAAAGCTTTCCTTTGGTTTGCATTTGCAAGAGTTTTGCGAATTTTCCAAGGACAATTGTGTTATGCACTTTTTCCCCTTTTACCTAAAAAAAGTCTGCTGAGGCTTTCGTCTGTCTTACGTTACGACTCTCTGTGGCTACAAACAACTTTGCTAGTGTTCGCCTCCCAACTAAAACACTTTCGTTGGTACAGTGTCAAAAGATGGATGAACATCACCTAAACTGTTTACTTTATGGAAGTATAAGATGTAAGTACTCTCATTTGCTCTCTATACACACACACACACACACATATATATATACATCAAAATACAGCATATAGAAGCATAGAGGAAAACGGAACACGCAAATTAATAAATGTGTACCGAGACAAGAGGAAAACAAAGAAGTCAGAAAATAAGTTACATTTTTTAACCTTTTACTGTCAGCTTTGTAAGTCCATATCAATATGTAATTTATTTTTTGTAATGCCTCTGAATAACTTTTATAAGTTGACTTAAAACCATTACGTGTGACAGACACTGACCTCGCCTTGTAGCAATTCAGCCCCCTCAGACGCCTCAGAGAATTGCATGCTGGGTAAAGTTGGGGCCTGCAACATGCGAGCATTCGGAGGGTTGCCCACGCTGTACAGACGAGGCCGTTTAATCTGGTCTTGGCTGGACAGAGGAGTGAAACTGTTCCTTCGGAGGAAAGCTGGTGGCACAGCATCCACTTGGAATTTATTCTAGTCGAACAAACAAACAGAGTAGACTGATAAATACATTTCTTATGGTAAACCAATTAATCATCTGCTTTGTCTGGAATCACTGTGCTGGGAGGAGGAGGAGGAGAAGGAGGAGGAGGAGGAGGAGGAGGAGAGAAAGCAAAACAACTGAGAAACAGCCATAAATAGAAAAGCCATTGTCATGTTGGTCTCAGCAGGCAGGATATTCGTCCCTCCGTTTAACAAGAGGTTTCTCAGTAAACGTGTTTATGTGCTAACACCCACTCTGTCTAAGGCTCTGGGCCTGAACACTTGTCACTAATCAGAACAAACTCTACCAGCAGAGAACAGATATGGAGCTCCCTGATTAGGAAATGAACACAAAAGGCGCTGCGCTGCATGTGTCATGCTGATGCCCTGATTTATTTCTTGAAAATGAAAACTTGGCTCATACATAAGTGTTTAGTCTTCCAAATAAAAGCTTCCTGTTGGGGAAATGGTATGACTGGTTGTGATGTGTAAATAATAAATAGGTATGTTGGAGGCTTGTAGGGAAAATAATAGTGTTTTCTTCGTAAAATGCCAACGTTTAGACTATTATTTGGACAAAAGACAATTGAAAATGTCCTCTTCCAACTATAACAGCAATTTTTCAACATTTTTGGCAATTTTAGAGAGATGTAATCAAGAAAATACTTATCGGATTAACCAATAATAAAAACAGTTATTAGGAGCAGCCATGTGGCACATACTGTACCTCTCTTTTCCATTCTGTTCCATTTTGGAAACTATTCTTTTTCACTCTCTTGCCATAAGTTGTAAGAGAAGATCAGTACCAGGATCATATCTGTCTGTTCAGCATCTCCAAAGCCCAGTACTTAGTATGTTATATCTACATGATTAATTCATACACAAACAGCGTGTAAAATCTAATAAACGTGGTTTTACGTGGTGTCCTGTGTCATTTTCAGGCAGTGACTGGCTGCAGCCAACAGACAAGACTCAAGGATTAACTGCACCTGATCAAGAAATAGTTATGCACATACATGCTGTGCAGATTGTGGGACAGAGCCATGCTAACAGCTTTTACTCTGCTTCCAGTCTACATATAGTGTCAGAGATATCGATCTTCTCATCTAAACCTCTAGGAATGTGGGTCGGATGCTTCCCCGGTTTTGTAATCTAGCATCAGTATCTGGAATGGTAATTATTTCAGTGATACCAAAAAATACAAAGGAGAGGAAGCAGAAAGACAGAGCAGAGAGATGAAACTGAATCTTAACTTTTATCTGATGAATACTGATTTTAATTGTCAGGATTATCTGCGACAGTTAGATAACTACACTGCAGACGGGGGTCTCACAGTGAGAAGGAGAGGCACAGTTTGGGTCTAATGCAGGTTGAGTAGACTGGCATACAAAGAGTTCTAGTGTGTACAGTGTTTAAGTCAGGAACCTGCAAACAGTTTTATGTATCTTGCCTTGCAGGCTGGATGTCCGGCTCCGGAGAGCTGAATGAGAAACTTTAGTGTGTAATTTTTGGTTTGAATTCCTAAAAATAGCTCAGGTCAGAGCAGTTTGTCCAGTCATGACTGTGGGAGTTTAACTGATCCTTCAGAATGCATGCAGTAGACACACATTATACTGAACAGGGTGGACGATGACAACTTCACTGTTTTTTTGGTAGCTTGCGGCTGGACTACTGTAACTCTGTGTACGGCGTTAACACAGTCCAACATTACCCAACTACAGTTAGTTCAGAATGCAGCTACTAGACTTTTAACTGGTACAAAGAAAAAACACACATCTTCCCAATTCTGGCAGATTTTCTTTAGCTTTCCAGAAAATACAGAACTGACCTTAAAACTGTAATGTTTGTTTTTAAAGCACTTCATGGTGTAGATCCACAACAGATTACCAGTATGTTTTCTGCCTCTAGGCCACTTAGGACATCATCACAACAGTCTCTCTTTTTTTCCCCACTGCTCTTAGGTCTTCCTGAAGCTGCTCTAGTCATGTTCCCTCTCTTTTTTTTAAATTTCATTTTTTGTTGTGTTTTGTCCTCCTCTGCAGGTATTTCTGGCTCTGGAGATGCAAAGGTTAGATCTGCAGTTACTTGTCTCAGCAATCTGTCCAGCGTTTATGTTCTCTGTTATCTTTTTCTCTCTGCCCTTTACCCTCACCCTAACTGGTCGAGGCAGATGGCTGCCTTTCCTGAATCTGGTTCTGCTGGAGGCCACTTTCTGCTAAAAAGGACTCGTTCCTCTCCACTGTGCGTTTGGTTTTCCATGAACAATTTTAGGTCTAAACTAGGGATGCACAAGATATTGGCGACCACATCAGTATCAGCCGATATTAGTGTTTTTTTTCCCGATATATTGGTATCGGTCCGATGAACAAATTTAGCCGATGTGAAAAACTGATGATTGTCTAACATTAGCACCTTCTTCTCTACATTTGATATTGCTGCTATTTGACAGATGTTTTTACTGAAATGATCCTGGACTTAAATATGTTAAAATATGTTTTACTTTTGTGTTATGTAAAAAAGAAGACTATGTGGTCTAATGTGGTATGGGCTTCTTTTGAATAGTTTTCACGTTCTCACAGTGTTTACTTATACTCATTTTTTGGTGTGAACAAAAATTTAATATCGATATCGGTAATATCGATTATCGGCGATATCAGAAATCTTAATATTGGATATCGGTATTGTCCAGAAATTTTAATATCGTGCATCACTCGTCAATACCTTAATATTTATATCAATCAGATACATTTCCATAAGTAATAATATTGTAGGGTCTTCACCGTACTAGTAATTCAGTCAGATAAATCTCTATTTTATATCATTTTTAGGGTTGTAACTGTCATATTTAAATAAGTCAGGAAATTCACATTCTAAATAACACTGTAGGGCTTTAACCTTAAGACTCAAACTTGTTATGTAACTTTGCATCTGAAAGCACTCTGGCTCAGCAACTGTTGTTTTGAATGTTCTTCCTACATAACAGCGACTTGTCTTGGGTTATACTGAACAGAATGGGCAATGACAGCTTACAAGAAAACCAACAGCATGTTCGTGACACAACATAATAAATGGTCCAAAGCTTACAAATGGTCTGTCCCTGTGAGTGTTGACAGCCTCCACCTTCAGGTCAAACATGTCCACTTTACAACCTAATAGACGGAGAAGGTGGAAAAAATGCATCACAACAAGGAGGCAAAAACTGAGGAAGAGGTTTAGCTGACTTATGAACAGAGTAGTGACTTACCATATGCCACAGGGGTGAGTTTCAGGACAGTGTGCAGGGGACACTTCAAGTATGGTAGATCATCTGTGCCAACAAGAATAAAAGAGACTAGTGAGACTTGGTTGTGGTTTTATATGTTTTTGTATTTTCCATATTTGTGGATTTTTCTCTCCTGTTTTGCAGGACACGCCTGCGGACAGCTGTGCAGCTCATGCTGTGCTGTATGAGGTACAGTTCATGGTTCTGTGTTACGTCTGCAGTGCTACATGTCCCCAGAGTGGGGGTGCAGTGGGACGAAATGCCCGTCATAGCGGCACCCACACTTTGGTTTCTGCAGTCATCGGCTGTGGCTGAGCCTTTAAACAGATGCTCCAGCAGCGACCACTTCCTCTGCTGACTGACGAAACCCTCTGTCTGCCCACAGCTAATTATAGCTTTGATTTCCAATAGTATTTTCCACTCTTACCACCCAGTTAATGTTCATGTCTGGTGTATTCCCTCTTGTGCCCATTTTCACACATTCATACACACATGTTTTTGACAATTGCTCTGGGACTAAAACTGAGCTGTTGTTAAGTTATCAGGTTGGTGTGTTGTACAAGACAGCACAAGATGGCACAATTCTCCACACAATTAACTATAAAGCTAATGCTTCTACCATCAAACGCTACAGCATTTGCTTCATTGTTGGCTTGATGACTAATTCTCATTAAGTGGAAGGCTACCTGACCTCCCTCTTTGGTGTAATATAAATTAAGGTGGTTTCCCTTTATTGATTACATACAAAAACCATCCTTTGTACCATCTTGATATCTGTCATTCATATGTAGACATTCTGACTTTATACTGAGTCCTAATAGCATTTATATTCCTCTTGCACTATATTGCAATTGTATTGTAATTTATTTTTGCTGCTGTATACGGTTTTTTAAAAATACATTTTAATTACATTTCCTTTTGTCTTGAACCTCATATTTTTGCAGTAAACTCCAATACCTCCGTATTTATTATATAAATGATCAACTGAAATACCAGAGGCTTGCTCTGTCATCAAAATATATGAATTAACTTTACATAACTCTCAACATGGGAACTCTGCAACTTTATCATTGTATTAAATTTTTTAATGCATTTCTTTTTTTGTCATTGCTGTTGTTTGTACCATCAGTACTGCCTGTTTAGTTTGACATTACCGCAAAACTCTTGCAGAGTTATTATCTACAATACTGTTGCTGTTGTATGTTTACTTTTCTTTAAAGTTTAAACTTTAACCACTGTGGAGAATGTCAGCTGTCTAGAAGTACATCAATCTACATCCAGTAGGCTTCACACTGGCTTTAATTTGGGCATTGAAATCTGAAATTTCCTGCATTTGGCACCCCCGTGTGGTGGCATTAAAAAATGACACTGTAACAGACAATAAGTCTGGTCAAGAAATTGTTTCCTCTCTACATCAAATTTTGCAAAAGTATTTGGATCCGTGATTCTACTCTGTCACATACTGATCACCCTGTTGACTGCAGGCAGACACAGATAAATATAAACTGCTGTTTAAACTGTACTGTCCTTAGAAGGTCATAGCAAAGAAACACTTGGTTGGTAGACACAACATCCACCTAACAAACTGTTTTCCTAAGCCTGTGCCGATTTAGGCACTGAAAGAAAAGGGCCAGCTGATGTCTGCAAAAACACCAAACTACAGCCAACAACTTTAAAATGAAACCAAAGTTTGTGTGATTATTCTACAGCAGTCGGGTACTGCTTGTGCATGACTTAATAACAATATTCACGATAGACTGTGCAGCTGTGTTTACCTTTAAAGTGTGCAGCATTCCCCTCAAATCTTGCTTCGACATACTATTTACGATGGAGCTGACGTACTCAATTTGCCAAAACTCAAAGCGTTCCCGTGTGCTCTTAGTGCAGTTATTCATTTCTCACAAAGATCGTCCTGTTATTTAGGTGCTGCTCTTATGTCATTGCCCAACCATTCGCTCTGTGCCAAAACCACAAAGTGCAGCGACGGCAGATGAACTGGAAGAGCCAATTTCAAAGTTACATCAATGTCATCATGTTGCGCATGCAAAGCAACAAAAGTGAAAAGTGCTTTGGAAATGACTATTCATCCATTAAAGTTGCTTTTTCATTTGTATGTCTGCTAAATGAAGTGGAGTATTTTATGCTTACATGTCAGGTGGTACCAAATATCTCTCAAGTGTCTTCAGTGGCCTTCGAGAACATTTTGTTTAGCTGCATCCTGACATTGTTTTTCAGCACTCAGGGGAACATTGTGGCCTTGAATTACTCCTCTAAGCTTTTTTGTTTAGGCACTGCAAGTTTTAGATAAACACTCGGAACAAACAGGTTCAGACTAAGATGTTTGGGATCCCACAGTACTCGTAGGTGTGTGACGAGAGGTATCGTCCTGGTCATGTTTCTGTTTCTGTGCATGTAACCTGCGCCCTTGTCCAGGAAATATGCCAGTAAGCAGCGCATGACGGCCTGATGGCAGATGACCAGAACGTTGCCCTGCCGCTCCAGCTCCATGATGACTGGCTCCAGCCGCTGGACCAGGTCTTGGTAGGACTGGTGAACGACGAAAGTTACAAGTCAAATGACAGAGCAGGGTCGGATTCAGGTTCTTGTAGTTTTCAGTTACATCAAAAAGTCCTTTGTGGGCCTATATGCAAGTCTAAATGTGTCATGTACTTCAAGTAAATGTGTTATTCAGTGCTTTCCACAACTTATCTGTAGAGCAGCTGACCCACTACACTTCTGAATTAGATGCATCTTAATACTCAAGTTTAAACTGTCAGGCTTAGATTTTGATGCCTTTTTTCATTATATGCAATGTGAAAAGAAATCCCATTTTTACATAGCCCAGTGAGGAAATCCTGTCCTGCTTTACATATATTAGCACAGCTATAAAAACATCCAGTGATTCGACTGACAAAACCCATTTAACATAACAGACGGTAAAATTATTAAAAGTCACACATCGTGACAGGCCAAACATCATTCCACGGGGAAGAGAAGCTTCTCACCTCTCCTCCAGGGTAGCGGTAATGATACTTGTCCTGGTCTCTCATGGCAAACTCCTCTGGGTATTTGTCCTCGATCATCTCATAGGTCATCTCTTCACACACTCCCTGAAACACAATGTAAGAGCAGTGAGACTTACAGCAGGTCCGACTGACTCTGTCTGCCCCTTCAGTGATATATCAGATGACATACAGCATCTATTTCGTTAAGGATCTTCCACTGCTCGTAAGGGACGCCCAGCTCCTCTGCTGTCTGAATGGTGCGTCTCAACTGGCTGGTCCAAACCTTCAGGTCCGTCAGTCGGTGCTCTTCCACAAAACCCTTCAGTTCTGCTGCAAACTGCCAAAAACAACACAAAAAATAATTTTAAGCTTGAGAACTGACACCTTAAGGCAGATTTGAAGTCACACAATGAGTCAAGTAATGTTTTCCATAAATGTCCCTGAAACTTGTTCAAAGCAGAAGAACTTTAATGAAGCCACATGACTGGACTTTGTTGTATATTTTATATTTGTTTGCTTATGCACGACTTTATCAAGGACGATCTGTTGACATATATTCTTTCTCCATTCCCCTCAATAAATATGTGCTATAACTGAGGGTCTATTCTCTTCACCACCTCTGCTTCACCATACTATCAAAATCACTCCACTCTCAATTCGAATGGCACTACTTTTGTCCAATTATCCATCTGGCCATGTTCTCTGAGACGATCACCCGCAAGACTTGATGTAGCATGCTCATGGCTGTGCAACAAACCTCTGTTCTTACCTTTATATGATCTCTCCTTATTGAACTTAACAGTTTGTTTAATTTTAGGCATTTTATATATATTATAACATGGAATCTAGCAAGCTTTAGAGGACTCGATTGAGCGGCTTAGATTGATTGTTACCTCTATTTACAGCCTTTGTGCTAAGCTAATCTGCAGGTGGTAGCTTCTTATTCAAAAGATAAATACACGGTATCTACAATTTCATATATCTCTGTGCATGTAAGATATATGGAAAAAGCACCTGTTTCCCTCTCTCTGACAGTTCTGAGTCACCCCCGATGCGTCCTTCCTGATTGTGATGGCTCTCTCCATGGCGACAGAGGTAGATGGAGTGGGAGTGGACGTGGATGTTCATGAGGTAGTACACTATCTTACTTTGGATGTAATCCTGCACCCTGTTGACCAAGAAACGACGGCCAACATTGATGACTTGAATGAAGGACAGGTTCCTGTAGGTCAAAGCAAAAAGATAATCATGCACGTGTACATACGTAAAGATACTGACAAACAAGTTGAGGTTAAAGAAGGGATATCTTGTACTTTTAGTGTAGTCTAAATAACATTCTGTGTCAACAGCTTCTTCACAAAAGCAAGAGGTCATATAAGACCAACAACTGTTCCTCCTTGTTAAAATCATATATTAAGTGCAGGATTTCAATCTCAGCAGCATAACACAAATCTGTAAATATTATCAGTTAATGATTAAAAGACGTAAAACAAACCATCTGCAGTTAAGTCAGATGACAGGAGTTGAAAAAGTCATGACCTCTGAATCACTGGTTTTATTGTAACTGAGCGTCTCCTGATGGAAGATTTCTGCAACTGCATGTTCTTTTACACAAACTCCGTACTGACTTTTACCCCCATAAAAGGCAGCACTAGCATTTCAACTGACATTTTTTCTTCAATTACATTGAGAAGCTTTAAACAATACAACTAATAGAGTTTTTTCAAGATAAGAACTTCTTACTTGTCGTGTTCGTCTGGATCTAAAGGCTGGTAGGTCACTTTGTAACATTCTATTCTCTTCAGAAAGTCCTCCATGACGCTTTCTCTGTCCCTCTCAGGATAATCTGGGCTGGAGACCTTCACATCCTTTGTGAAAGAGACATTTGCAGAGATGACTCACCATCAGTTTCAACGACAAAAAGGTGCAGATAATTTAATACAAAAGCTCAAATGCATCATTTACCAGAATATTTTCAGCGATGACGTCTGGATCGTCACATATCGATTCAACAAAAAACACCTGACAAAAGATTAAACATAAGAAATTGATAAGCAGTTTAAAAATTCACTATCTGAAAAATGATTTAGTAAGTAAGTAAAATATATTTATAAAGCGCTTTTTACAGACAAAGGTCACAAAGTGCTTTATAAAGGCAATAAAAAAATACAGGAAAACACAAAAACGATAAAGTGACTACCTGAGCCATGAAGTGAAAAGTGCAAAACTGCACAATACATAGTGAAAAACACACTACATAACAATAATACACGAAAATAAAGCAAATACAGAGGTAGTGCATACAAGTTACTCAAATGCCTGTCGAAACAGATGTGTCTTTAGTTGGCTTTTAAAAG